CAAGGATCGTAAAAACTTTTTTTTTCTGAAAATCAATGCTATGCTCTAAGGATTGAAGCGGATATATACTTGATTAATGGCTTTAAATGACGGAGTCAGTCAAGTTTATTAAAACACATTTATATCAATGTTTTGAAACTAGTTTTAATGAATTTCATGCCTTAAATGTGCCTTAGAAGTATACAAAAACGAAAATTTGTGGATTACAAGTATTTCATGTTTGAAAATGTATGAAAAATATGCCAAATGCATATTAAAGACGTAATTATAAGTATTATTTAGAGTACGAGTTTCTTACTGTATCAGAGATACAGGGCGGGGCTTGAGGCGAGAGCGATAAGCCGGGCCCCGCCCTGTATCTCTGATACAGTAAGAAACGAGTATTCTAAATGACTTGTGACATGACCTTTCTAAGGACCTCACTAATTTACATGCGTATTTGGGTGTATACCTCCCAACCAATCAGATGATTTTCAGAAAGTTGATTTAGTATCCCATTTTAAGCATTCTCAACTGAAATGCAGAGCGAGATGGACGTGCAGGTATCTATCATTTTAAAATTATTTAAGAGATGCATAAATTAATTTGTTTTCCAAAAATTTTTATTTAGATTTGATTGCGCAGGGCTTTTTTTCTCTATGCAGCTCTTGCTGATCTTTTGATGACATTTTTTTTTAGTTTAAGCTATGATTTAATGCAAAACATTTTGATATATAAGAATCATGTGGGAATATTTTTGAAACAAAAATGCTTCGGGAGATCGTAGATTCTGAGAGAAATGTCCGACAATGTCCTCCACCGGTCGTCATACACAAAATTGAAATAAGCAGATGAAAGGAAAGGGGGTGGGGGTATTTTACTTCACGTTTTCATTAAAATGTAGAGTAACCAAACGGGGATACAACACTCACTGGTGCCCCATCCCACCTTTGAGTTTTTTTCTTTTTCGTTTAATTTTTTTTTCTAAACTTGTAAACATACGGTTTTTAATTCATCAACAAGTAACGAAATGACGCACATAGGTGTTGGTTGATTATAAATCTACCCCCAAGGAATAGTCAATACGATTTTCCGTTTTTTTTTTTTTGTTTTGTTTTTTTTTTTTTTTTTTGGTTTTTTTAGGGGGGGGGGTTCAAAGTAATAATTTGTGAACTGCCCCACTCCCTCCTTTCTAAAATTTTTGAATCCGACATTAATACCTTTACGTTGTAAAATTTTATTTTTAATTCACCTAAATTTTTGAGTAAATACGAACAGTTCTATGGCGAATTGAACGATTGGTATGTCTGTATACGGATACAGCTTTCCGTCATCGCTAAAAATAAACCGTACTGTATCGTTGATATTTTGCAGATACAGTACAGTTTCTGCTCATTTGCATAAGAAACGCCCACAAAAAGTGTTCTGTATCGCAGTTACAGTATGCTTGACTTCAAAGGAAAACTCGCCGGGTCATGTCACAATATACTTATACATATTAAGAAGAAAACAAAAACTTCAAAGAATCGAGATCTAGGACAACTTCCCCGTACTTATTTTTGTACTGTGTGAAAACATTCGGACATTTTAATTAAAAAAATTTAGTAAAATTAATGGCGGTTTTAGAGTTATCTTTCTTGTGAGAGAACACATCTGCAATCAGCTGAATTATCTAAAATGAAGATAAATAAGATCATTGTAATAAAAAAAGGGAGAAACCTACCTTGAGTACTCTAAATACTCGTCTACTGCTTTTGCATTTGCCCCGTCAAACTTGAGTTTAAACTGCTGTTCCCCCATTTGTAAGCTTCTAGTCGTCCGCCATTAAAGTTGTTTTCATTAACGACGGATTATACTTTTCTTATCGATTTTCACTGTGGGCGTCAGTTTAAATTTAAACTGTGATACATTTAGGCGTTTCCTCTTGTATTTGTTGCATGAAATTTAAATGTCAACGTACTTTGGTTAGTATTAATTACGAATCTGAAATTCACAGCAAACATACAGATATCGATGCTGCATACGTAGCCTATGGTTTGTGGGATATTAGTGAGTGCATATTTAATATAATGATTTAGAAGATATGTCTTGTAGTTGAATATCGAATTTATTTCACGAATTGGACAGTTTTTTTTAAAATATTTTCACTCTTGCGAATACTGGATTCTAGATCTGAAATTTCATAGAACCCTTAATTTACAAACATAGATACCCAGCAGATTCCAGTAAATGTTCTACCAAGCATCTCTCTTTACTCCTCACTAAAATATTAACAACGTAAGGAGTATTGTGCAACAATATGTTCGAGAAATGGTCTAAGTCATGCCGATTTGGATACTCAAATTGATATTAAAAAGATGACAGAGTTTCTGATTGCCAATTTCCAAGTCGTTTTTTTTTTTAAAATCCAGGTCTTCTTACAATTTGTTTGAATTTCCGTGGGTACCAATTGCGTCCCGTTATTAGCAGGCCTTATTCAGAATCATACATGAGAAGAAAACACTTTCTGTGGCCTTCAATTCGACATTTAGATTATCGACGACGTACTATCAATTAACAACAGTTATTTCCATACATATGTAGACACAATGTATCCAAGTGAGCTTAAAATAAAGATACCACAGAGTTTGAACATCTGTTTCATATTTGGATATTTTACCAGAAAGGACATCAACGGTAATCTAAAAACAAAGCTTTAGTATGGTAAATGTGATGAATAAATAACTTTCTAATTGTAAATTTCCCTTACAACAATATACCCTTACCACATGCATATGGGCTGTATATCTCTCAGTTAATTTGAAATGCAAGAGCATGCTCTTTTTACATGTATGAAAATTTCTTAAACGAGGTAAGTTATTGACATACAAATTGATGAAACAAGAATATCAACAGTTTCATTTAAATTATGATTTCGTAAGTTGTATGGCTGAAAAATGACTTTGTCAGCAAATACAACATATCATTAAGTAAATTGCTGACTGACTTTTTTCATACAAATCATTAGTCCATTATTTACACACTGAATTGTGGACGGTTTTTCCGTTATTTTCCGATCATGACTTGAAGCATACGGCGGGTGTGTCCAGTCGACAGGGGATGCTCACTCCTCCATGACACCTGACCCAACCTCTGGTGATTTAGAGGTCCCTGTTTGCTCTGATTTGTATTGTTAGAATGGCCTTTTGAACTTGAAAATATTGTTTATTATCTCAAATCATCATATATTTCAAAATCTTTAAATCTTAAAATGTCAGGGATCTACAGTAATTATGGGACGTGGAGACTGGCTCTTAGGACGAGACCGTATAAACAGAGGTCCCGTGTCGCAGTAGTTTCTGGCACAAAAAAGATCCCTAAATTCTCAATGGCCCTGAGTGCCGAGTATAGGACAAAATTTGCAGCTCTCCACAGGCAATAGCAAGTGGTGGTATCTCCATATGAGTGAAAAATTCTCGAGAGGGACGTTAAACTAAAACGCCAGGGAGTATTTCTTACAGCACTTTTTGTGAAATCATGAAAAGTTGAGAGTTTGGCAACACATATGCTCTTTATTCACACTGTGGATTAATTATATCACTTTGATTTTCCCAACACACTGCGACAAGATATAATATTTATTTGATTAATAAAACAATTCTACAGTATTTCACTCGTGAAACCGTGGAATTTACTTGAAGTTAAAATGAGGGAATCATATCAAAAATCAAATAACTCATCATGGTTTTAATTGACAAATAACAATACTGTTACATGAAATATAAAGTTAACGAACATTAAAAGTACATTTATTTACACATCTTTTTTGACAAACAATATTAATTACAAGGCCTTTATAGTGTATACACATCTCTGAAAAAAGGCATTTGAAACCTTGTCTTTATTTGTGAAACTAAATTCTGCTACTTACACTCTTATACATTATGATAACCTAAATGAAACTACAATGTACCTCTCTTTTTGTTGTTATATTACTTTTAATAAGATAGGAGTTTTCTGTAATTAAACACATTAAATCAATCCGTTTCAAAGATATAAAAAAAAATTTAAAACAAAAATTGACAGATTTATTTTCCCCACCCCACATATTTAAATAACAGATACGGTTTAAAAATCAAGCTTACTTTCAAGTTGTAAATTTTGAATCTACCAGGGGGAGGTAAATGTTGTAAATTTTGATTTTCCTCCCCTAGTAAATTCAAAATTTACAACTTGATAGAAGTACATATGTAAGTAAACGTGAGGTTATTCAAGTTGAAAATTTGAATAATTTGAACGTAAAAAACATGATATATATCATTTATATCTACAATCTTATATCTCTATTTTTTTTTTAGCTCACACATATATAGCTTTAACAAAAAACAACCCCCCCCCAAAAAAAAAACAAAAAAAAAAAAAAAAAAAAAACATGAGGCCTGTGGGCCATAAAATCACCTATATGTTATGAGTAACTAATGTCTATAACCACCATTGCCTCAATGGGAACTTTTTTACATGACTTTATGATATATCCTATCCATGCAGTGCATCTCTCATCAGTTCAGAAGTAAACTTCAGGGGTAAACTATAGACAAGTACACTTAAAGTAAAACCAACTTGAACTTTCCCTTGGCTTCAATTGATATAAAGTTTTAATTTTTGTAGAGAACTACCTCCTCATTATAATCTAGATTTCTAAAAGATTCAAGCTCCGGTGGCCATACAGCCGATTGGGGGTAGCACCTGACTAGATAAAATTCAGGGGACAGATGTTTTCCAGCCCTGTTACAACCAGCATCCAAAATGAGAAAAGTGCTATCAAATAAAGTGTACAGTTACCAGTAATTCATCCTTGCCTTACGAAAAGAATACAGTGTAAACAAATTGATCACATAATGTATGGTATATTTCAATTTTTCTCTTTAGTTCAGGTATAATGCCTAATCACTCTGACTGCATACATATAAGAATAGCAGATATAACAACTCTTTACATAGTGTGCAGTGGTCAGATGGGTGTGATCCATCATCATGGCATTCATCAAATGGGTGTGAAGCCATTGCCAGAATGATAATCTCTTTCGGCTCCTTCAGCATTAATCCCCTCTGTATTTCGATTTCCTTCATGCTGGACGGTCAGATAGTAAGGATCCTGAGACTGACAGCTAGCTGTATGATCATTAGAAAACAACTAAATAATACAGTGAAACTTTTATAATCTGGATATTGTGTACATGGTTTCTGAAAAACGTTTTATGTAAACTTTAAGTCAAATTCAATAAATTAAAGTGTTGTCTTATCCGAAGAGTTGTCTAATCCGGTCAATTTCTTTGGAACCAGTCAGTGATGTTTGGATGATAAGTTTCAGTGGAGTTGAGTTTTCAGTGAGTTTTGCTTTATTTTCTTTTTCATATACCAATGTCCCATTATTACTCATAGTTTATGTCACCCCGTTGGTAAAATACACAAGAATATGCTCTACATCCAAAAAAATTTCTAAAACAAGGGAAGCTGCTGACAAACAAGTTGATGAAACAAGAAAATCCACAGCCTCGTTTGATGTCATCATTTTTAACCGTAAACTTAATAGTCAATACAATGACAATGATCTTCTCAGCAAATACATGAAGTCTGACATTTTTCATAAATATTGTTATTAAATATTATTCATACGTTATACATTGTTTTTGGATTCTTCCTATTTCCGGGTTATGACAAGAAGCAATCTGTGGATATTTCAAGTCGGCAGAAGATACTCTTCTATGACACTTGCTCCCATTTCTGATGTTTTTAGAGGTTTGTGTTTGTTCTGCGCCCAATTTATATTAGTTTTAAGACCTTGAATTTGACCTTTAGCTCCATATTTCATCAGGGAGAGGGCTAAAATAGGCTTTGCCTGAGGCCTGATCCCATTCACTTTATGTGAATAAAATTTTGTTTAAATAAAAAAAAAATATTTCATCCTAATGACTGTTATCTCAGTGGCTAAATTCAGCACCTTTAAATGTGAGATCGTTTTGTTTTAGTGTTCTCAACAGGTAATATAGAATTACCTAGTAATTTGTAAATTTTTCGAAAAATTCTTTTTGAGTTTCAAGAGTTACCTCGCCTTTTTTCCCACCGTAGACGCAAAAATAGAACTGCGAAGAGAATGGCTAAAAAGCTGGTAATACTTATTCCAACAATTAGCAAAATCTGCATCAAGGACCTAAAATATAGAGAAAACAACCTTTAATAGTTGTTCTTAGTTTGACTTCGATTCCATTAAACTTAAAAATATTATATAAATACACTTTTTATTCAGTACCTGTAATGAATCCATATCAAATCTATAAATAACAGTTGTCATCTCCTTTAATCGTGAAAATAAAAGCATCATATTCGCCCAACTTACAAGTCTGAAGAATCATCGTTGGTTTGTTCCTTGTTCAGAAATTCTCGGCAGATTTTACAGTCTGTAGGATTCGGACATTCCGTTGGTAAAGAATATTCTGGAAATATTTCATTCATCTGATTAAATATTAGGCCACTTGATTGGGTTCGACGTCCGACCTTGTTGGAAAATGAAGAAAAATGAAAATTAGTAAATGGATAATAAATATCTACATCCTAATAAATATCTATGAAACTTACCGCCAAAAGAATCAAGTAAAACATTTATTGAAATAAAATCTTTAATTTGTTGCAATAATTATTAAACTTAACAACGGTGATTTACAAACTATTCATTACACAAATATTTTCCTGTACCATTTTATCTATCGAATGAAGCATATGGAGAAATCAGTGTTCAAAATCATAAGTCCATAAAACAATACAAAATAGGAACATTGCAAACACGGATCTCCAAAACATCAGAGGTGGGATCAGGCCCCATGGAGGAGGAAATATCAGACAATGAAAAGGTTTTTCAACATCCTAATTGTACTCACGCCAAATAACTAAAATAATACAATTATATGTCTGTGTTAAGCTAGTGTCGAGTCTTAATTATTTTCAATTAAGACTTCTTATCTCAAAGAACATTATTTGCAAAATTCAGAGATTTGTTTTCAAATTGTCATGTACGTGTATACAGTGTGCATGTTATTGTATTCTGTCATAAACAATTCCTTTCTTACTTATTACTTACCAG